ATGCACTGAAAAAATTAGCAAGTACACAGAACTCGCCCAGGAAATAAGGCATCTGTGGAGGATGGATAGGGTGCTTATTGTACCTGTTGTTCTCTCCTGTACAGGTGTGATACCACACACACTACACAAAAGCCTGGGAACATTACAATTGAGTAGAAATACATACATCACACTACAGAAGGCCACTATATTGAATACATGCCATATTGTTAGGAAATTCCTGAATACAGACACACACACATTGACACACTTATTTAATTTTAGTTTTGTTTTGGTTGCTATGCCTTGACTCTGGTCCGGCATAGTACACAGCCACCGGTGTGAACCGAGTATAACTCACAAAAGCCAACATAATAATAATAATAATAATTGAAATTTATTATTTCAAATACTATTTTGCTATTTTTATTTTTGCATACATTAAAATATATCCTTGAATATTTTTAATTAGTTATAAATAAATATATATATATATAAATTTTTGGTTTTTTTTCTCATTATTTCCATATTGAATACAAAGATTTATTGTTCTAATAATTCCATGTCCTTTTTAGCTATTTTTACTCTTTTTAAAAAAGGTTTTTTTTTACTTAGAATACTGCTACATTATGAGTATTAAGATCAGTTCATGCTTCATGGTAACAGAAAAGAGAAGATAATTTTTGTTTTGTGTTTGTTTCTATTTTTGCAAGAATTTATACTTTGAAACAACAATAGATCTTGTAATACTTTTAGTTTCAAATAAAGTGGCCCAAATATACTTTGAACTGCTTATAGAAGTCATATCTTATTTATAAAATGCTTAAAAGAGGACAAATATGCCTATAATAAATCTGAAACAAAGAGAATGAAGAATATTATAAACTGTTAAAAAGAAATTAAGAAAGATGGTGCCAAAGAACATTTTCAATATTTTATGCAAGATTTAAATTATTAATTCATATTTTGAATCATTTATATTCATATGACGTATTATCCATAATACAAGGATATTATAAAATGTGTCAATAAACCTGTTTTTTTTTTTTTTATATCATTGTCCTTGATTAACAGCATGTTCAGATATAAAGAACAACTACATTCTTTCTTTTACTTTTCTCGCACACTACAAAAGTATGTCACAAATAATGCTCAAAGTGTAAATCAATTTAGTGTTGTTTTCTCTTTGTTCTCACAAAGTATGAACTGTCCTTAAAGACTGTGAAAAGAATGTAAAAATGAAGAGAAAGAATGCATTTTTCTTTTTTATATATATGTTGAATAGCAACTGTCTCAACTAGAGCATTACAGGAAATACTGATATTGTTAGCATTAGAGTTCAAGATTATTCTTGAATATTCATTGGAAAGGAGTTACATTAAATGTATTATAAATTATGATGTAGCATTTGATTTATTCTAAAATTATTTTTTTCTTCCGTAGCTTAAAACANAAAAACTAATTGAAAAATAAAATCCTATAATTTTATCTTAAATACTAATATAATTTTTTTTCTAATTTTTTAAATAGATTACTTGAAATGAAGATTGGAAATAGCATTGATTCAACATTAACCCAAAATGAAAGAAATTATTATAATGAAAATACAAATGTTGATGATAATCTGAAATGTAATTTTCCTATCAGTTTATTATCTAACAAAGATGAAAGACAGAAAAATTTGTCTAAGTCACAACATACAACTGAAAAATCTAATGACTACATTAATGATGACATAATTTCACCTCATGATGCAAAACAATCTGTAATGTTAGTGTCAAATGATGGAAATATCAATAACTCTTATCAAAATTTTGACTTGACAGATAAAGGAACATCTCCAGTTTATATTTCTACAAGTGAAATACATTTAGTTCCATATAAGAAGGTTGATTTTAATTCACAACTGAAAGATTATAGAAAAAAATTGAATAATATACAAAGTAAATACAATACTTCAAAAGTAAAGTTAGATCTTATAAAAGAAGATATATTAAATGATATTTCTGAAAAATTGATGCATAAAGGTAAAGTATTTTAATTTTTAAAAAAACAAGTATTTCTTGATTTATCAATGAATAAAATACATATTTTTACAAAATTTCACTTATTTTATTAACAATAATATCATAATCATTTCAAATATTTTGTAACAACTTGCTTTACTAATTAAGCAATTTGTGTTATCTTATTTGAAAATTATATTAAGTTTAAATATTTTAACTGATTGATATAAATTTTTGTTATTTGATTTTCTTTTCATTTCAAAAGTGAATAAATGAAGTTTGAGTGATAACTCACTCATAAATCCCATTTATTTACTTTTATCTTATCAACAATTTAATTTGAATACTTTTTTAGGTTTCTTTGTATCATAAAATCATTCTTAGTCTAAAACATGTTAAAAAATTTGTTTTTCTTTATTTCAATAGAAATTTAGAACAGGGATAAATCAAAAAATAAAGTGACTTTTCAAAATGATTTCCTATATTTTTTAAGAAATTTTTAATTCCATTAGAGAAAATTTTTGGTTAAATTTTTAATTATGCTTTGTGCCAATTATTTTATTATTCAAAGAAAGTTTCATTCTTATTCACATTTCTTTGGATCAAACGTATTAAAATTATTATGAATGAGAGTTATACTCACAATATGATGTTTTCTGTCAACTCAAATTTCATTTCTGAATGCCTGCCAACTCCAATTCCTGAATGTTTGGCAAATCAAATTGAATTGTTTGAATTTATTTGATGTCATGTATAAGAATAGATATTGTTGTGCAACAAAATAACTTGTATTATCATAGCACCTTTGATATGATCACAACTTTTAGTCTCATTCTTACTATATCACAGTATTTTACACAACATAATATAAAATGTTGTGATGTATTAAGAATGAAATTAAATAATTAATGATTTGATTGAAAGATTGATAAAACTCTTACCTTTTGGAAAGATGAATCAAAATTATGATTTTACATTCCAAAAATTCATATAATTTTATTGGTTAATGATGGATTTTTTTGGAAAAATGATTTTGGAATTATTTCAAGTCATAGTGTCAATACACTTTAAAAATTTTATCTGTCTCAAGATTGTGTCAAATAGATGTTCAATTTCTAAATGTTTGGCCTTTTGCTGGCATTCTAAGTGTCCATCTTATACACATTTCTTAAAAATTTATTATCATACTAGCAGATGAGCTCAGCGTTGCTTGGGCAAAAAATAACAACAGCAAAGATTAAGATTATTAGATTATTTCGTACTTCTAACCCTTCTACTAAATTATATTGTAGTATTTGATTTATATTTACAAAGGTTATCTTACATAAGAGTTTATTACACTGAGTGCTCAATCTAACACATTTTAAAAATTCTTTAAATTGTGTTAGATTGGTCATTTGATGTGATAAACCCTTATGTAAGTTAACCTTCATAGTTATATAGCAGATTTTACTTTTTTCACCAGATGCAAGAATTAGGTCCCCCCTCTTCCAAGGCCAATTAGAGAATTTTTAGATGTGTCTAAAAATATGTTTGATTTCCTGCAAAAACACAAAAAATTACATCTAAAATAGTACAGTAGAAGTCAAGTTCTTTAGGGTAATTCTTAACCCTCTCCCTCTTGCCTGAAGGATGGAATTTCCATAAATTCCTTCTTAGTGTGCATTCTCATAATGTACCTAACTGTGTACCAAATTTAAACTTTCAACTCCTAATTGTTTGGGCTTTGTGTTTATTATTATTATCAACCAATCTCAATGATAAGATAAGCTGAGATATATTGTAAGATAAGCTGAAATATAATATAAAGATAAGAATAAGATAAGCTGAAATATATTGTAAAAATTTTTCAATATCATGACCATAGATTTGTTTATTTTCCTCTATCATTCTCTCTCTTGAATATTGTTCTCAATTCTTGATTTTAATGTGATTTAATAATAGTTAATAGCTTTCTAATCTCTCCTGTCTCATAAAAAAGTCCTTTCTTTTTTAAATGATTTATCTATTATTAAATTTTAATGCATAATAAATAATTATTAACTGTTTATAAATATTTCAACCGGTTGAAATTTTTTGCATTTGATAAAAAAAATTTCAACAGTTGTGTGAGATTTTGGACACACCCCCTAATTATTTTGAAATCGATGTCAAATACATAAATTTTTAGAAGTAATATTTCTGATTTTAAATGAAAAGTTTTAATGTTGAAAACGAAGGAAACTGGTAAAAGTCACTTCCTTCTCAATGGAAGTTTGACATCCTTTTTGGTTTCCCTTATCTTTACAAATTTTGAGTCACATACAGTCCAGTTACCCCTCTGTAAACCCCACTCATCCTAAACATGTGGGAATAATACAATTCTCTCATTGAAGAAAATCATCAAAAAAGGGGATTCTTTAGTATCCTTTGAGGAGTACGCCAGAAGGTCGCAAGGAGGACAGACGTATTCCATATAAGCTCCCACGGCCAATGCTTGTAACCGAATCCCGAAGTTTCTACTAATAGAGTTATAAAGTTGTTAAATATAGAGAAGAATATGTTTATTGATGTGTTTTTGAAGAATTAACCTAAGATAAGAACATTCGTCCAGAACATGATCTAAAGAAGAAGATAAGAGAAACATGGTCTGAGGTAGTATGATTTTAGCTGAAATTGTAATCTCTCTCTCTGTGATAAAGACAGATTTGAAGTTCCATATTGTATAGTTTTTCTTTGTTTATTAAATACTCGTTTTTATATTAAATTAAGGTCTAAATGTCTGAATCAAAATATTTTATCATCTCCATCACTTTCCAATGTGCGTGTTAATCCGCGTACGATAAATTTGATTAACTGGTGTCATTATCCTGACGTTGGATAGAGACTTTGCCGCCTATAACCTTTTTATTTATAAAAGCCCTCCTAGAAAAAGTTTAGTGAGCCAATCTTGCGATTTGTGCAGTAAGTGACTTAGGTAACACACCTATACCCTTGGCTTCTCACAGTTGTAATGTGTGCAGTCAAGAATCAAATTACTTCCCCATACATTTATCTTTATTGAAATTGACAGTGAAGATCTTATGTTTTTATTTATGACCTTAAAAAATATCTCCATATTATTATATAAATTTTTTTGTCATTTATCCACATTTTATTCAAATATGAATAAAGCAATATTTATTAATGTATATTAATATATATTGATGCATTTGTTCTTCATAAATATTTTTATTTAATACTAAATTTTTAAGACAATGTATTAAAATTATATTGATATATTTATAGAAAATCTTTATAAAAATAATGAGCAGTCTTCAGATAATCAGAGTAGAATGGAAAATGCTTATGAACAAAATATGCTTCCTACTGCTGCTTCTAACATTGATTTTATAACACATCCAGCAAGGTTAGCTGTAATGCTTAATTACTATTGCTAAGCAATTTAAACATTTTTTATATGTAATATTATATAATTCAATTTTATAAATTAAATAAAATCTATATTTATTTATAAAGCACATGTATTTATAATGTATCTTACAGAATTATACAAAATAATAAATGGAATTCTGATTTGAGAGAAAGAGCACAACAGTTCATACAGAAAGAAGCTTATTTTAAACATGAAAATACTTATTCATCTGAAAATAATCTGGTTGGTAATTTCAGATATAGAGTTGAGTGCATCACATTTACATCTTTCTTGAGTGTGTTGTTTTATAATTATTTTTATAATCAATATGTATTTCATTTATTTTTATTTGACTTTGCAAATTTTTCATGCTTAAAAGTTTTTATTTCAGTAAAAGAATATGAAATTATATTTTTGATAATATACTTTAATATAATGAAATCAAACATGATAAATTTGTGTAGTAAATTATTTTTAATAAGAATATTACATGTAAATAACATGTAATTTTCTATTTTAATTTCTAGTTTTTGATTAATAGTAAATATCTACTGTATTTACTTGCATATAAGACAACCTTGCATATAGGATGAGGTGTGACTTTAAAGATCAAAATAAAGAAAATTAGATTTATTAATAGAATTCTAATTTCATTTCTTTTATAATCACAGGTAAAATATCAAATGAATGTAAATGCACACATTATCCCACAAAAATTACTGGCATTTTAAACTTTGAGAAAAAATCTTGTAAAATCGATCACATAATTTGTTCATGTAAAGCTGGACAATCAGAAACCTTTTTTACCAATTCTAACAGTCGAATTTACTCTCCGTTGATTACACTTACGAGTTTTTCTGAATTCTGATTTCAAAATAATCATCTGTTTTCATGTGGGAATGGATTAAAACTTATATTGGGCTCCCATATGATTTTTGGAATTTCAATCTAGAATTCAATTCAAAAGTTTTGCTTTTCTTATTGCTATTTATCTTTACTCCTGACAATATACAAGGACAATTCAAATGACCCAGATAAAATACTTATGTCTTTAAATACAAGAGGTTAAGCATCCAGTAAAAAATGTAAATACATGGTTCACAAAAATTATTTGCAAAAATGAAAAGAATCTTTTGCTCGTGCGTATGGGATGACCTAGGAATTTGAAGCTGTGATCAATGAATAAAAACCCTCTGTCTTATATGAGTAAATATGGTATATTTAAAACTTTTCTGAATAGGATTTTTTTTTTATTGAAATAAACATTAGGGGTTGTCTATAAATTATGTAATGCGGTTATGGGTGAGTGGGGTAATCATTAGGATGTGACTATGCAGACGCAAGCAAGTGAATTTTCTGAGCCAGCAAGAATATTTGGCAAGAAGAAGTGATGAAATTTCACACTCTGTTTCTCGCTCTTGTTTATTATGACCACACAGATGAGAGTGAGAAACAGAGAGCGTGACTGTGTACCAAATTTCAACTTTCAACTCCTAACCATTTAAGCTCTGAGCTTATTATTATTATTATTATCAACCCATCTTGATTATATATATAGATATAATATATTAATAAATTTTTGTTATTTAATTTGAGTTAAGCACCTTTAAATACGAATTATTGGATGTCATTTACATTATGCAAATGTCAATTAACATGGTTTTTATTAATTAATTTTATCTAAATTGAATTGGTTTGTGTACCAAAAACTGGAACTAGTATGTTACTCAAATACACATTGAAATCAAATATTAATAATAATGTAATCCATGGTTTGTGTTGTGATGTCTAATGACACAAGGCAAATCTCAGTGCCACTGTTGAATTGGTAGTCCTGTCATTGGTTGGTTGGGCCATCAACTTTCTTTAACATAGGAAGTTGACCATCAGTGGCCGGCTCTGCCAAGTAGCTTGTTTGGAAACTGAGTTATCATACATAAACTGGAGCAAATATAGCATTCAAAGTTTTGTTCATAAACTGAATTGTTCATAAACAGGGGTGTTCGTCACCCAAGGTTTGACTGTGCGAATAACCAGGGTTGTGCCAATAGATGAAGTAGAGAAACAACTGCCTCAGGTGCCAAGTTGTCTCTGTGTTATTTGGAAGGGATGTTAAAAAGGTGTCATAATCTTTACAGAAATATAAGTATATTGGCACTGTTCTTAAGATTGCTTTAGGCACCCAATTTATTCAGAACAATCCTGCATGTAATTAATGTAATAATATGTTAAATACCCTGTGCAGTATACACAGCACAGGATTCTGAACATTATATTACACAGGTCTGCAAGTAAAAAACTGCATAGGATTTTTATACATTTTCTTATAGATTTCAACTTGGTAAAAACGAAAAAAATATCAAAAAAATTCCATCTCGTCAATTTTTTTTGCTACACTTAAGTTTTTGTTTGTATTTAGTGTAAAGTTCCTAGTTAATTAACTTAAAATTTTTTTTATTTAAAAAATGGCCTTAAAAAAAGACTTCTCACATTAATTTTATCAATTATAGCTGGACTTGGCAATAAATAAATAAAAATGTTAATTGTTGAAGAGAGTAGTGGTAGGGGGAGATGGGTTAAGTAGTTTTAGTGTTAGGAGGAAGTTTGCATGATCATACAGAAACAGGTTAAAAGTTGATAGTGAGTAATATTATTGGTGAGCTTGAGCATGTTTTGACATGTTATCTGGGATACTAGGAATAAATATAAACAACCTGCTGTTGGATTAGATCATGTTTCAACAAGCTAAATAAGTTCAGTATCTCACTGGCCATCTAATGCCACACTCAGTTTATATCCAGCATTCGAATGCTACTGTGCTTGTATTTTTATTTCTGGAATATGGCTTGCAGAGGTTGTGTAATTTTGTCTGACATCTTCTGTTATGTTTGTGGTGAATACACAATGAAAAGTCAACATCCCCTTTACCTGATCCCCTCTTTTTGGAAACAATGGGAGAAAAGGAAAAAGAAGTATGGGACTCTTTCAAGAATGTAGTGCATAAGTTTTTGGGGAATACTAAGGACCCTGACTACAAAACCATTGTACAATGCATACTGGTAGCATATGAAGCTCAAGGATGCAAGATGAGCTTAAAAGTTCATTTCTTACACTCCCACATTGGCTATTTTCCCAAAAACTTGGTAGTTTACAGTGAAGAACAAGGTAAAAGATTTCACCAGGACGTCTGTGATATCGAGAGACATTACCAAGGAAAATGGGATGTCAATATGTTAGCTGACTACTGTTGGATGCTCAATCAAGAAACCAGAGAAGGAAATTGGAAATGAGTTCAGAGAAGCATTAAAGAGAAGAAGAAAAGGTGTCATAAGAAAAAAGAGTAGACCTAAAAGTGTGTATAAATATCAGAAACAATTTTTTGATTAGTTGTAAGAAAATATAATATATTTAGTTCATTGTAATCAATAAAAGTTTTTATCAAATATTTGTTTTTATTTTCAAAAAACCTATATGTGATGAGATGTTACAGAAGACGTTTTTAGAATCTCTGATCTTTAAAACATATAATTCAGCAAAAATATCTCATGCAACTGGAAAAAAAATTTTTTTTGCAGACCTGTGTTATTTTATTTATATTCCTTATCATTACATTATATTATATTCCTTAGTACAATTAAGAGAGTTGATCAAGGATATGCATTAAATAATTTTTAAACAGAATATGTGTAATAGCCTTATGGAACATTACAGAGCAGTGGAAGGAAAGATGGAAAAAGTAAGAAAATAGCATCATATAATTTATGGACAATCTCTTAAATTATTTGCAATATAAATTTATGATTTATTGGGGTGATATAATGTCATTTAATGTAAAAATGTAAACAATAATGATGCAAATATAGTGAATTTGAATATAGGAAAGAATATTTGAAACTTGACATATTTAATGAAACGACAAACTTTTTTACAGCTTTATTTTATTCTGAATGTAGGTTTTTAGTATGATTTGAAACCCAATGATATATTAGCATCAGAATTGGCAACTTCTATAGTAAAAAAAGAATTACTGTAATAATTTTCATAATTCATGTACATGAATTATTGCAAGCTATATATATAGATCGTAAGCATTAAAATATGATTCTTTTTGTTCAGTTATTTATTATAAGTTACCTAGATAGTGACTATACATCTGCGTGTGTATGATTGTGTATATTGTACAAAAAAATTCTTGTTAACATAAATGATGAATAAATAAACATAAATAAACATTAATAAAGTAAGATTTGTATTTATTCTTCTTTGTCTATAAAAATGGTTTTTTTTAAAGCTTAGGACTGCAATATAATGCAATTGCAAGTATATACAAAGAAGAACTCTCATTAAAATTTTCTTTTGTTTTTAATTAACATTTTGTGTATGTATATATATAAGAATAATTAATACATTTTATATTGTTTTTACTTGTTTTAATTGATTTAAATGTTAATACTTAATTAATTAATATTTCATATTATGTCAATTAATTAATTTTCACTGTGTTCTTTTATTTCAGATAAATGAACCTCTCAATCAGTTTTTCACATTAACTGATGCAGTTTTAGATAAGGTATATAAAATTTTAATCTAAATTTTAAAATCTGTTGTTTACATTATTTTATAACAACATAGTTGATTAAATTCTTATTCAAGTTTTATCAGTTGTTTTTATCATCATTTTTTACATTTGAAACAAAAACAAATATACGTAGAATCTCATTTTAATGATCACTTGGGGCACCAAAAATCATTTGTTGTCCTGAAAATCTGTTATATTGCAAACAATGAACTTTTCACAATCCCAGAAAAATATCTGTTGTTCGAAAAAATTATCATTTTTTAAACCACCTACATAAAAAAAATACCTGTACTCGAAATTATCTCTTCAGATTTCTATCCTTTATTTTATATAAACATATATATTACAAGATTGTATATTATGCCATAACAAAGCTGACAAAAACTATATACATTATAAGCCAAAAAGCAACAAAGTAAGTATGATCATTAGCACTTCATGATATGTTAAAAAACTGATTCGTCTTTGTTTGGTTTGATGACACTGTGATGATGCAACATTTGTGTGTGGGCTACTTTTGGTGGCATTGTCAGTATGAAATGTTACTGTTACGTGAACAGGATTTCAACGTGCAATATTTCCGAACTTACGTCTAACAAAGGTGAGGTACACCTTTGTTACACATGTGTGCATATCTGGAAATGTTAAGCCAAAAGTAGTTTCTTTACAATAATCAACACACTACAGGAGGGCATTAATGTGTGGCTGCAACAATGAGAATCATAATTATTACGTGCATCATTTGCACAGCATGCAATGTACTTTTTTGAATTTAATATCCATAAACATCCAATTATTAATTAAAGGTTGAAAAAAATACAATGTTTACTGAAGATGGAACTAGAAAAAATCTGTTATTCTGAGTTATGGATCTGCTAAAAAGAGGTAAAATTACACTGATTTGGTGGGAGCTGTTGTTTCACAATCTTTAAAATGAGATTCTACTGTATAAATATACTTCTATAAATACATCTGTATAATTAAAATATTGCAAAGTCTGGAAATTTATAAAATGTTTTTGTTATTAAATAATGTTTGTTGCTATTTATTGTATTTTTAAGTCATGTTGCAAGTTTATAGTAATAATGTTTTTTCTGTTAGAATTGGATCAATAAATAACCAGCCAAAAGCAATGCTTTTGCTTTTGGCTGGTTATTTATTGATCCCAGTTGATTATTCATTGATCCATTATGTGTGTGTGTGTGTGTAGTGACTTTTATGTAAGGTGTTACATGTCAGTAACTCAGAAAATATCTTTTAATAAAAAAATGTTAAGAATAAAAGTTTTATTTTTTTAAGAGGTCTTTTTAAATGCCATAAAAATAAAGATTGGTGCATTTTCCCACTGCGTAAGATGGGAGAAACTTCCAAATTTTAAATTGAACTACCCAAATTTTTTTATATTTTTGTATTCTTTATTAAAAATGATAATTTTAAAAGTTATAAGCATATGTAATTGTACATTTTGAAAGATAACTGTCTAATAAAAATGCAACTTTTTGTGAGCTAAATTTATTGCAACAGATTTCAAAGTTGCCAATGATTAATTTGTAATCAGTTTTTGATGTGGTTCAAAACCAGTACTCAATTTTGAATTAATTTCTAAAGTAAATTTTAAATGAGATGGAAAAAGATGGATTAGACATGGAGGATCAATTTCATGGTCACCTAGGTCAATGGACCTGATACCAATTGATTATTTTCTATGGAGTTTCTTAAAGGATCAAGTTTTGTTTCAACAACCAACAAGATAGATTCAAGATAGGAAGCAAAGAGTAAAAGATTTATGTGCTTAAATAACACCAGAAATGTTGCAGTTCATTCAGTGAAACTTTGTTACTTAATTACTGAAAGGTTTAGATGAAAATGTTTGAACATTTATTAAATAACTGCAAAAGTAAAGTAATAGAAATTAATTAGCTCATAACAAAGTTGTCTTTTTATTAGATTTACCTTTTAAAATATGTGAGTAAATATGCTTATAAGTTTCGAAATTATCTTTTTTTTTTTTTTTATTTTTTTTGAAAAATGTTTTTTACACATTGATTTCCATAATACTTTTCAGGATTCTGGTGTAAAAAGCGAACTTAATTTATTTATATTATATTATAAAAACTCTAATTATAGTGCATAGTAATCATCAAAAAGTATATAGAATGTCGTTTTTTTAAAAAAAAAGATCTTATGAATTATCTTGTTGTTGGCTTATGTAACAACAACAACACAAAGCCCGAATAGTATACATACTAAACTGCCAAAGGATCGCCTAAATATTGAGCTATTATATGGCTACTTAAATGATTAGAATAAAGCAATTTGTCATAAGAGGTAGGCGTTAGGCGCCATCTCGTAAGTAAATTAATAATTAAAATTAAATAAATTATTTATTTTTTTAATTTTAATTATTAATTTACTTATGAGATGGCACCTAACGCCTACCTCTTATGACAAATTGCTTTATTCTAATCATTTAAGTAGCCATATAATAGCCCTATATTTAGGCGATCGTTTGGCAGTTTAGTATATGTAACAACTCTTCACTAAAGCCAAACTATGAATTTATTCATGCACAGACATGATTTGACCACTTGCTTTGCTACAGCCGAGCATCTAAATTCATTAGTAATAAATCAGATATAGAGTTGAGTGCATCACATTTATGTCTTTCTTCAGTGTGTTGTTTTATAATTATTTTTATAATCAAATTATAAATATCCCAATATGGATAAGAAAAGAACATTGATTGAAAAACAACTTGAGTACTATAGTAATGTAAGTGATTCAGAATCTGATGAGATTTTTGGTAAGGATGGTGTTAAGCCCCAATAGACCTAAGTCTGTTAGGCGAGGTTGTCGGGTAAAGGCACAGACACATTGATTGAGGACTTTACAATTGTGGTATATTTTTAACAATAAATTTTAATCATGAATGCAAACAGATAAAATTTAATCTATTCTAACAACATGGGAGGAACTTAAACATATTAGAACTTCCAGGGAGAAGGATTGAAGAATTTACTTAAATATTAATGACGAGGTACACCTTTGTTACACATGTGTGCATATCTGGAAATGTTAAGCCAAAAGTAGTTTCTTTACAATAATCAACACACTACAGGAGGGCATTAA